GCACAGGGAGATCAACTCGGTGCTTTGTGACCACCTAGAGGGGTGGGATAGGGAGGGTGGGAGGGAGACGCAAGAGGGAGGGGATATGGGGATATATGTATACATACAGCTGATTCACTTTGTTATACAGCAGAAACTAACATAACATTGTAAAGCAATTATACTCCAATAAAGATGTTAAAAAAAACGGAATGGGTAGGACTGCAGGGTGGCACCAGAGAATTTGCCCAACACAAAAGGCTTAGCCCACTTTGACCCAAAGGGCTTGAAACTACCTTCCCCACAGATACAGAAGCAGAGGGTGGAAAAGATCCCCCGTGGCTGCCGAAGCTCTGGAGGGAGAGTGGGTTCCTTGAACCCCAGAGCTGCCTGTGCGCACAGTCGCGTGTGTGTAACTGTACTCCCTGGGGGGCTGTTAGGCGGTAGCAGAGATGTCAGCACAGGGTCCCTGGAGATTGTCTGAGCTGCCCTTGGCAGTGACGGCTGTTTCTCACAAGCAGACTCTTTTTCAAATGCCTGAAGAGTTTTCATAGTGATCCGAGGAGACCCTCTGATAAAGCCCTTTCTTTTCCTCTGTGTTTCTCAGCGGCGCCAGGCTCTAAAGTGGTCAGGTATCATTTCACTGTTAGGATGGGCAAAACAAAAGAAGATTAAACTAGATTTTAAAACAGCAGCTGCACAAAAGGTACAGAAGCAGAGGTCCAGAAGTGAACTCCAGTCATGGTGTTGGCACTCTCCCCTCCCCTGTCACTCCAGGACAGGAGGCTGGGGGTGGCTGCCATGACCTGCCTGTGTCGCCCGGACTGTGTGTGGCCTTGTGCCAGGCGTGTGCCAGCCATCAGCGGCTTCAGCCCTGCTGCAATGTGGGCGTGTGGTCAGCTGGTTACTCCTGGCCCCCGAGAGCCGCAGCTGAGACCTGGCATTTATGGAGCTGCAGCCACACCAGAATGCTGGGGTCAGAGTTCCCTGTGACTGTCTCTAAGCTGGGGTCACTGGCCATCCCAGACCCACATCTTCTGGAATTCAGTGGTGAGCAGTCCTTGCAGACAGCCTTAGAGCTTCTCCCAGATACACACCTAGGCAGCTGGACGCAGGGCAGGTGGTGGGTCCCCCATGAGCTGGACAGGCTGGGTGGAGACACAGCGAGGGAAGACCACGTGCAGGCGGGTGGACCCTAACTCTAGGTGTCTTCTCTTCCCTCCCATGTAGTAAAAGCTGTACCATTGGGATGGTTCTCCGACTGTGGAGCGACACAAAAATCCACCTTGACGGAGACGGGTAAGGAGATCTCTCAGAAGGCTTCTTTCACTGTAGACTTTGAAACATGCGTGAGTTTGGGCATCGTTGGATAATCATTAACAGCAGAGTCACACGTGGGACATGTTTACCACATCAGGAGAAATAACATTGCCCTTCCATGAGCCACACAAGGCAGGGTACATTTGGGACATGATATAAGGGAGTTGGGTCACGAAGTACCAACAGAAACATTTACGGGTTATCTGCTGCTGTATGAAGTTCAAGAACAGCAGTGAACAGACATTCATCCATTTGCCTTGATTTGTTAAATGGACGCTCGCTGTGTGCCCCCCATGGGCTGGTCCCTGCAAGTTCACAGACGAGTATGATGCAGCAGGAGCGCCAAGTCTCTGAGGGCTGCAGGGAAGACACACAACCAGCAGGTGCAACAGTGTTTGAGATGCCATTTGGGGGGCTGCAGAGGAGGAATCATCCAGGTGGGCCTGGGCAGGTAGACCAGGGCCAGGGGGCCGTCCGGATTCTGGGGGGAAATACTCAGGTACTGTCACGAGTAGGAAGAAGCAGGAGAGGAAATTATCTCTACTTGAATTCTAGCAGTAGAAGTTACGTTGCCTTGTAGATAGAACGGGGAGGGAAAGATAAGAATTAGATTTATTGACGACATGGGCTTATGGTTTACATTTTTCCTTTTTAAACTTCTGTCTTCCACTAATGTATTTTTTATGCAAGTATAAAAGACACAGATGGAGTGTGGGGCACAGGAGGTAGGGGGCGGGGTGGGACAGTGCAGGCAGGTGAAGCGAGATGGTGTCCAGTGCCGCTGTTGCCTCACACCCTTTGCTGGGCTTTTAGTTTTTGGCTGACTTTGTATTGATGGGTTAAAAGCCAGTCTTCCGGATTTAAGAAGCTATCTTTTTTTTTGGGGGGGCTTTTGGCTTTTGCCCTTGTCTCTGTGGCCTGTGGTCCCTCATCACACAGCGTGAGACACACTTGTCCTCAGGGTGTCCACGACGGGCTGTCCCCCCCGCCGTCTGGCAGGGATGTGGTCGGAGGGTCTGACTTCTCACCACACTGTCCTTTGTTTTTCATTCTCAGTGGATTCAGCGTCAGCACGGCAGGAAGGATGCACATCTTCAAGCCCGTGTCTGTCCAGGCCATGTGGTAAGTGTGATTTTAGGGACTTTTAACTCCTTAGAAATATTTTCCTAGCTGACAGCACAAATAAAAAAAACCCACCTACTTAGAAGCACATTTAAGTATGTTTATTTTGTGTGTGTGGGGGGCAAAAAATATGTATCAATAACAAAATTTACCATTTTAAGGACACAATTCAGTGATATTAAGTACATTCACAGTGTTGTACACCCATCACCACTATCCATTTCCAGAACTTTTTCATCATTCCAAACAAAAACTCTGTACTTATTAAACAGTAATTCCTTATTGCCCCCTCCCCCAGCCCCTGGTAACCTCTATTCTACTCTCTCCCTATGACTTTGCCTATTCTGGGTCCCTCACATAAGTGGAATCATACAGTATTGGCCCTTTGGTATCTGGCTTCTGTCACTTAGCATAATGCTTTCAGGGCTCATCCGTGTTTAATACTTCATTCCTTTTTAAGGCTGAGCAATAAATTTATTGTATGGATGTACTACTTTTATCCATTCATCTCCTGATGGACATTTGGGTTATTTCTACCTTTTGGCGACTATGAATAGAGCTGCTGTGAACATTGGTGGACAGAGTATCTGATTGAGTCTCTGCTTTCAGATCGTTTGGAATTTCTAGATCATGTGGTAATTTTGTGTCTAACCTTTTGAGAGACCACCAGACTGTTTTCTGTAGCAGCTGCACCATTTTACATTCCCGCCAGCAATGCACAGGGGTTCCAGTTTCTCCACATTCTAGTCAACACTTGTTATTCTTTGCCTTTTTTTTTTTCATAATAGCCATCCTTATGGGTATGAAGTGGTATCTCATGGTTTTGGTTTTCATTTCCCTAATTAATTAGCCTTGAGCATCTTTTCATGTGCTGATTGGCCATTTTGTATATCTTCTTTGAAGAAATGTCTATGCAAGTCCTTTGGCCAGCTCTTAATTGGGTTGTTTGGTCTTTTTGTTGTTGGAGGTACCTTGTTTTTATGTTTCTACCGTCCCTGCTGACAAAATGTCATTTTAGCATAAATTCACTGGTCCCTTGTCCCTGGCACACCGAGGGTCATCAGTTTGCTCCATGGAGGCAACAGCAATGCTCTGCTAGGCATTGAGCATCTGCGGAGGCATAAAACGGACAGAATTCCTGTCCTCCTGGAGTTTAAAGTCTGTTGAGGGAGGTGACCATAAACCCAGAGCAAAGTCCTATGTTATACTGAGGGGTGGGTGCCGGGCTGTGGGATACCTACTGCAGGGTGCAGGGGCCGGGGCAGGGTAGGGCCTCCCTGGGCACCTGCATGGGGGGTGAGGTAGCTGTGGGTGAAGACTGCCTTCACCTTCCAGACCTTCTCTGAACCCGATACACATTCTAGAGCCTCCTCATCCTTGGAGGGCTGCACAGATCACTCACACAGCAGACTCCACATGGCAGTCTCCCTCAGATAATCTGGAAAAGACTCGGGAGAAAGCCGGTGGCCTCTGATGAGAAGAATTCTGCCCTGTGTTTCAAAATAATTACTCTTTTCTCCAGGACAGGGAGTGATGCAGGATCCTCCCATGGGCCACGCGCTAACATCGTTGCTTCGTTTTTATGTCTTCTGTTCCTGCAGTCAGTTCAGGATCATTTGGGGGGAAATCACGAACTCATCATTCTCTAGACGTCCCAGATGTTCCTTTGTGGCCCTGGATAATTTGTTATCTCTTTCTCTACGAACGAGTAAAAAAACAGGCCCATGCGTTTTTCCAAAACTTCAGAACGAGAATAAAATTTCGTAAATATTCAGCTCAAGTTTCTTGCCTCCCCCAGTCTAGAGCTAGGACAGATGTGGACCACTGGGGAAAGTGAAGTGGGTTGCAGTGGTTTTTATGCCGTGGTTGAGCCATTGATTCTCTGATAACTTCTCCATCCAAGGCCTCGCTCGTCCACCCTTCACTGATACCTGATTCACTGAGAAATACTCAGCCCATATTTTTGTAAAAAGAAGTAAGAAAAGGATAAGTAAATTAGCTGTTACCAATGTATACGTTTTCAGTACTGTTTCTCCTGCCCGACTCTGCCTCCCAGAACTTCTGCAGTTAGTTCTTGTGAGTGTCTCATTTCCTTACGCAATCTAAGCGTCTAAGCTGTTATAACATTGATGGGGGGGAGCTAGAAATTAAGTGACTGGGAATGCAGTCACATATCTCTCCTGCATGTTGAGGATGCTTTCCTTCTAGCTGCTCGGCTGCATTGCGGTTCCCACATTCAAGGTAACCACAGCCTCAGAAGTGAATCTCAGTTCCTGGGAGTTCATTGGTGGATGTAAAGTGACCCGGGAGCCTGCCCGATTGGGAGCGTTAGAAAGCTTTGTCGTCTCCTCGTTGGGGATGGTGACAGGCGCCGTCTCTGCTCTTGGGGTCGGTGCCTGTGTCCCAGAGACCCGCGGTGGTACCTGGCGGCCACGTGTCCCCCTCGTAACCTCAGATGTAAGAGCGACTCCAGCCCAGCTCCCCTCGTGCCTCCCGGGCCTGACCCTCTTCCCCTCCTCACCCCAGGTCTGCCCTGCAGGTCCTCCACAAGGCCTGCGAGGTGGCACGCAGGCACAACTACTTCCCCGGGGGCGTGGCGCTGCTCTGGGCCTCCTACTACGAGAGCTGCATTGGCTCCGAGCAGAGCTGCATCAACGAGTGGAACGCCATGCAGGACCTGGAGTCCACGAGACCCGACTCTCCCGCCCTATTCGCGGACAAGTGAGTGCGAGTGCGGAGCCTCCGTCCCCGCCCCGGTCCCCGACCCCGAGTCTGCACGGCTCACAGCCCCATTGTCTCCCAGAACCAGCATCCCATGCAGGGGTTCCTGACCTGCAGCCCGTGGGTGTCTTTGGCTGGGGAAGGGTCTGACCACCGCCGCCCCCCCGCCCCCCCTTTTAAAATGATAGACAAATTCGGGTGTGAATGCATTTCTGGGGAGCAGCTCCATAACGTTCGTCAGCTTCCCTGTACCGGTGCTCTGGTCCCTCCTCCTCAGGTCCAAAGTCTTGATTTCCAAAGCCTCTTCCTCTGCTTATAAGAGTGTGATGAATGTGATATCCGGTTCCTTTGGTCCCAAAACACAACTGCACGAAGGCAGGCCGAGGGCGGCCGGCTCTGAGGCGGCAGCGCTGCCCCACGTGGCCCGAGGCCACGCTCCATTAACTCTAGTTCCAGAAGGAGGGAGCCACTCTCCCCTTCTCTCCTGGTTGGGACCCTCCTCCCCAGAGCGTCATGTTCCTTGGGGATACCACACGTAGGAAGGCTGTGGACCGAGGGGGGCCCCCCGAATGTGGGGAGGACCGGCTGCCACGTAGTATGAGGCCTCAAGGAAACTACGAGAGCATTGGTTAGGATACATGCCTTTGGACATATGAAGGGGCGTGACGTACGAGAAGGATTGTCGTGGTCCGTGTGGCCCCAGGGTTAGAACCAGGCTGATGCGTAGAAGTTGCAGGGAAACACATGGATTTTGGTTCCATGTAAGGAGGTAACAGGAGCTGGATGCAGCTGGGGCCATGGGCTGCCTGAAGACACAGTGATGTCCTCAGCAGAGTCTAGGGGGTCTGGGCCATGGGGATGTCGCATGGCGGTTCCAGCATCCGGCCCTGAGAGGCTGAGGCTCTCCAGACCCGCAGGACGAGTCCGCTTCCCAACCACTGTTTGCCCCCTTGGTCTGCCGTCCTCTCTGATGGCCCCTGGGTGACTTCCCTGTCCCTCTCCCCTTCTCGCTGAGAACGTGCCCAAGCCGTGTTCCGTGTAGCCCGGGAGCAGCTGGGGTTTCTGTGAACGCCGACCGCAGGCTTCTCGTGGCTTCATGTGGCTTCCCATGGCTCTGCGCTTTCCTGAATGTGATTTCTCTCCAGGCCAACTGAAGGGGAGAGGACTGAGCGTCTCATCAAAGCCAAACTCCGGAGCATCATGATGAGTCAGGACCTGGAGAACGTGACGTCCAAGGAAGTAAGAGCGCTTCCCTGCTGGGTGGGCCGGAGGTCATGGGCATCCCTGTGTCCTGTTGCCCTAGCGCAGCCTAGGTCGGGTAGATCTAAGAGGTTGAAGTTGCCTTTTTAAAAAGCCATATACAATCTGTTTATTAATTAGTGTTTATTAATTAGGTATCACAATTATCCTATTGTGATACCTTCCAAAGCAAGACGAAACTGCCTTTTAATGTTTTTCTCGATTACTTTTTTTTTTCTGTTGCCCTTTGTCCAAGGAACGCAATGAATTGTAGTAACAGCTTAAACTAAGTAGATCTAAGAGGTTGAAATTGCCATTTATAAAAGTCATGTACAATCTTTTTGTGAATTAATACATAATAAACCCTATCATGATACCTTCCAAAGCAAGGTGAAATTGATTTTACGTTTTCACGGTGATAGATTTGATAGCTGGAAAAGCGTAAGTTTTTTCAACTCGGTAGAAAAGATCCCAAGGGAATCAAATTCCTTCTTTCAAATAATAAACGTCCCGCAGTCAGGTTCACATTGAGGCCGAGTAGCCTGCATTCCCACCACCCACGTGTGTGTGCAGCGTGTTTAAGTGCATATACGCTTACTCTGAAAAAAGCCCAAAAAACACTTTTGAAAACAGTCATAGTTCATGTTGTGACTTTATTACTTCTTTGGAGAAACTGTTTTTTGTTTTTGTTTTTTTTAAACAAACCCCCTTTCCTAATATTTTCCACTCCGCAGATCCGTAATGAATTAGAGAAACAGATGAACTGTAACTTGAAAGAATTCAAGGAATTCATAGACAACGAGATGCTCCTTATCTTGGGACAGATGGACAAGCCCTCCCTCATCTTCGACCATCTTTATCTCGTAAGAGGCACAGCGCACGGCAGGGTCTGGTTTGGGAAACGTAAATCAGACCTTGATTTGTTTGGAGTTTGCAGCAAGTCATAGAGGGGGAGAAACCTGAGTTCCTGGAGCCTCCGTCCTGACTTTTACGGGAACTCCCCTCTTGACCCCTTTTCTCTGGCCTGCAGCCTACGGGTTTGCTCGAGAGCCAGATGTTTGCGCCGCAGCTCCCAGCTGAGCTGCGGGGAGTTGGTTGAAAGCTCTCTGGCTGGCAACCGTTTTCAGATGCACACCACTCTCCACCTTCATCGGTCACTAACAGAAACCCCCTCCAGATGGTCTGCGAACTAAAAAAAACCCCAGTTACTAAAGGGAACACCCGCGCCTAACCCCAGAATTATGCCTCCTCGTCCCGAGACATGAGAAACAGCAGAGGAGACAGACCAAATGCCTGAAACGCAGCATCCCTCCCACACACCCCCGCTTGTCCCCAAGCTGCCCCCTGCCCTGCTCCCAGAGCCCGTGGAGGCAGCAGGCCCTGCTGACACGGCTGGCGGGGCCTGCACATCCCTCTCTTCACTCCGTCCCTCAGTCAGATTTTCTTAAAGCTGTAAGTCTCCATAGAAGGCAGCTGGCAAGTTTTCAAAGTCAGGGGGTTATAGAGGAAGGCTCGCTACTAGTTAGTGAGGCAGCATGGTGCGATGGAAACCGGACCCACCCAGCAGGTTCCCACTCCCCAGCCTGACCAGCCAGGTGCCCGGGGGCAAGTCTCTTGGCCTCTCCTTTCCTTCATCCTGTACCTCAGGGGATGAATATGAGGATTAAGTTAGTACATATTTAAAGCACTGAGTGCAGTTTCCATAGGCACTCAAAAATGGTACCTATCGTTAGAGCAGGAATCACATCCTTGGAAAGTCGAGGACGTGTATTTGCTGCCCAAGGCATGAATGACTGTGTTTTCTGCCTGTAGGAAGTAATCAGTAGTTCCCCAAATGTGTATGCCATGATACATATTTAATGTATTAAATATATATTTAACGCATTTATATATATATTGATCTATATACATAGATCTATAAATGTTCAATGTATATATATTTAAATGTGTAAAGATGTGTGGATTTGAAGCCTGAATCTTGAAAGCAGCCCCGGCTCTAAATCCTCTCTGGGAAGTTGATTGTTTTCCCTGGTGGACACAGAACTGAAGGCACCTCGGCCCGTCTCTCCACTAGGTGGTGATCGCGGCAAGAGGATGCTCACAGGCTTAGCAGAGCTTTTGTTATTTTTTCAGTGTGGTTTGGTGCTTTATGTCACTTTTTCCATGAGAGATACTAAAGGAATTTTTATGTTTGAGCCTCTCCCTCCAATATGAAAATCCAGCTAGTGCCCACATGCTGCCAGCTCCATCGGGGCCCCTGCAGCCCCTGCATCTGGAGCGGTCCACCCTCTTGGGAAAGGAAGCTTATAGGGAGACCAAGAGGGTGCTTTTGCTTTGTGACTCTGTGTCGATTGCATTTCCTAAGAGCAAAGTGATGTTTTTTTCTTTGTTTTTCCCTTTCGTGTTCTTTGCCTGCTCAGAAATGGGGGGTTTTGGGTTTTTTTAAATACCATTTTTAAAGTATGAAGTTAAAACATGTTACAGAAAGTTAGGAAATATAAGTTGAAGGAAGAAAATTTAAAAGCGTTCTCAATTTCACAAATCCAGAGGCAGTCACTGGTAACACTTTGGTATGTTTGCTTTTCTATCTAATGGGTTTTTTTTTTTTAATGCATTTATAGCTTCTTAAAAAAGAGAAAGAAAAGGAAAGAACTGTACTGTTTGATTATATAGTTTTGTATCCTGCTTTAAAAATTTTTTTTTCATTATGTGGTATTTCCCTGTGTCATTAAATATCCTCCAAAAGTATGATTTATTTTAATGGCTCCATCATATGATTTCTTCTTGTCGGACCTTTGGGTGGTTTCTGCTGTTTTGTTATAAATAACCGTAAATATCCTTGTACATATACCTCTGTGAATTCTGGGTGTTTCCTCGGGGTAGCTTTTTGTAAGTGGAATTTCTAGGTCAGAGGGTGGGAACTTTTTTAATATTGCCAAATACTTCCCAGAAAAGGTAAACCAATTCCTGCTCTAATCAGTGGTATGTGAAAGCGCCCTCTCCCTCGTGGGAGGTCAGAGGTCACTGCCTCTGGTGACAGGACCCTGCTGGAGTCTTAGGAAAGGGAGTGATGAGAGGGGGCAGGGTTTCCTCGACCAGCCCCTTTCCCTGACAGTGCCACGAACTCCTGGGGAACCTGCTCTGATATCGGCCTCTTTGTATCAGCTTTCTTATCGGCCTCTGAGTCCAGGGGCCCATGAGATAGCCATCACCGTCAGGGGTAGCGCACACCGTGCATCCCGTAAGCAGCTCTGAGGCTGACGTGTGACACTCACGGGGGTTTGTGTGATCTGTCCCCCAGGGCTCTGAATGGAATGCATCCAATCTGGAGGAACTGCAGGGCTCAGGGTGAGTCTGCTCCCCTTGTCTTCCCTCATCCTTCCAGGCAGCTTAGAAACACTCAGCTCAGCCGTCCATTCGAAGCCGAGCCCTGGCGCTGCCTGCCTGCCTGGAATTGCCCACCCCAATCTCCAAAGCAGCTGCCAGCCTGATTTGCATAGCTAAACAGATGTGCTTCAAAAGGCCACCTCCTGAATAATTCATGGGTTTTAGATTTTACTGGGGTTTAGAAATGTGTGTGTCAGGGAGAATGATTCTAAATCACCCTCAAATAGTATAGGACAGCCTGGGTGCTGATTCGGCCACGAGCCCCCCCCCCTCCCCCCTGCCCTGCAGAGATGCTGAGGGCACCAGTGTGGACACATTTCCCGGTGGGCCAGTCAGCAGCCCTGCTCCCCGGACCACTCCTGGTTCTCTCTGTGGTTGTACTTTTGAGCCTGGTGGGAATCTTGCAGCTAAATGCTCAGCGTTGGCCAGAAACACATGCCTGTCTCAATCTGAGAAAGACTCGGCAGCAGGGATAAAAAGTGCTTAAACCTAGACCTTCAAGAACAGACGTCTGGACATTTTTTAAAAAAACAACACAGCCACAAAATCACCATCCTGTGGGTCTGACATGATGGCATTCTTGAATTACTGCATTTAAAAGTGAAGACTAAACAAAATCTTAAAATATATCTTTAGAACTACTGGTTAAGATGTGTTCTTTCAAGAGAAAGTGATCTTAAAGTATAGGGTGATGCTGTCTATGCTTTATCTTGCTGGGAATAAATAAATGATTTTAAAGGTTTTTCTTTTTTTTCCAAAGCATTTATAAATATTGCTCTTATGAAATCTATTTGAGGTGTTTTCAAACTCCTGAAGTTATGTTGGTCTTCCAGGAATGTAAGTATTAAGGTTAGAGAACTATAGAACCTGAGTTAGCTGGGTTAGCAGACCCTCCCAACTATTTATTTATTTACAGCCTGCCTTGTTTCAAAAAGGAGTTAAGGCAGTTCCCAAGGACATAAAAAATAGATGGATATATTCAGCTTTTTAACTACTTACAAGTGGAGACGTTGGTTTTATTTATTTATTTATTTTTCTTTTGCTGTACGCGGGCCTCTCACTGTTGTGGCCTCTCCCATTGCCGAGCACAGGCTCCGGACGCGCAGGCTCAGCGGCCATGGCCCACGGGCCCATGGGCCCATGTGGGATCTTCCCGGACCGGGGCACGAACCTATGTCCCCTGCATCGGCAGGCAGATTCTCAACCACTGCACCACCAGGGAAGCCCTGGTTTTATTTTATTTTTTTAAAAGCCTCTGTATACTCGTAATAGTTACGAATTTTGAAACTTTAAAGGTGTTAAAAAATGTATTTAGGTCATATGTGTGATTACTTTCCAGAATTAACGTTACTTAGCAATGCTTTGGATGGAGCTTTCTTTTTATAAGTTTTTTAGGCAGAAATTTGTTTTTTATCAGAAATATAATGTATTCTCATCATGTAGAGGGTATTTAGAAGATACCAAAAAAACCCCCAAAGACCACCACTATGAAGTCCTGCCATAAAAACACAGACCCTTTATAAATGTGTATTTAATCTTTTCTCTGCTCGGTTTGTCGTTACTTTGGTTTTTGTCGATCCACATTCTGATTCTCCAATTTGTTCTTTTTTTTTTTTTTCTCATTGCAGTGTTGACTACATTTTAAACGTCACTAGAGAAATAGATAATTTTTTCCCTGGCTTATTTGCGTATCATAACATCCGAGTCTATGATGAAGAGACCACAGACCTCCTCGCCCACTGGAACGAAGCGTACCATTTTATAAACAAAGCAAAGTAAGTGGGCGGAGAAGAGAAATCAGGCTGGGGAAGAAGCTGACCGGCAGCTGCAGGGTGGGCAGACATTAATGGTGACCCCAGACACAGCTGCCTCCTGGCTTGAGGGGCCTGTGACGTCTGATGGGCCTCTGGTTTTAGAGTGCTGGACCCCAAGCATCGAGAGGGCCAAGTCATTGATCTTCTCCAGGGGTCCCCAAACGAGCTCGTTCTCTTTCACCTGCCGTGACATTTGACCCCCGTTTCATCATTAGCACTGGCTGCAGGCAAGGCCCCTGTACCAAGCGGACACTCTTGGGAGCTCTGTGCATGGGAAGTCACAGAGCCAGAGGAGAGAGGAGGGCGGGCGGATCGTACATGACTCAGAGCACCTTTGGGGCTGCTTCCCTGGAGAAATCTACTCAGAAATCTACTCAGGCAGATGCCCTGAGCTGTGGCCCACCTCCACCTGACTTAGTGTGACTCCTGTTCACGTAGAATGGGATGGACCATCAGAGGTCCCCACTGCCCCGAGCCTGTCACTGCTGTCACATGTCTTTTGTCCTCACCTTATTCTCCTGTGGAACAGCTCTGTCTCACTGAAGTCAGGACCAGAAAGAGACACCTCTTTGAGATGCTCTCAAGAGACACCTCCTCTTCTGCTTTGCACCCAGGTCAAAGCTCCATGATGTAGGACCAAATCTTAGTTCCCCTGGGTTCCTGGGGGATAGACTTTGGCAGTCCAAAAAAACCCCTGAGGTTTGAGGATGAACTTTAAGCTTGGGGTATAGGAAATGAGCCTGCTCCCGCCGAGCAGGTGTGCTGCTTCTAATGTAAACAGGCAGGCTGGCCGGCCTACCTCCTGTACAAATAAACTTTCACAGGTGCAGCCCTCCCTAGCCTGGTGCCCCTCACCTTTGTGAGCAGGCGACAGCTAGAGCAACAGTGTTCCTGGCCTTGCCATGTCTGTTAAATCAGCCTCGCCTGGGTTGGTACCGTCTCCCTACAAAAAGCCTATCGGCCCATCTGTTTCCTTTGGCTTTTTTCTCTGGTGGCCAAGTCAAGTGCTGCGGACTCACGCTGGCTCCTTGACTCTCCTGTCTGCCGAGGCAGTCTCTCTGCCAGGGGCCCGGTGGCTTTCAGTTCGCTGACCCTGTTTCTCTACAGTAACCTGCTCCCTGTCTTCATGTGCTCTAGCAGCTGAGTGAGTAGCTTGTGCAGATACCCCTTTCGCTGCCCAGTTGCTTCATGCCCGAGGGGCTCTGGTCTCCCGGCCGATCCCAGCCACCTGGGAAGGCGCCCGAATGGGGAGCTTTCTCCCAGCAAAACTTGGCCCAGGCCAGATTGATCTCGATTTCCCATTGTATGCTAATTGATTTTGAAGTGAAGTTATTTCCTACTGAGGGTGTGTGGACGTCCGCTGCCTAAAACATCAGGACCTCAGAGGGTTTGGGCAATGAGATAACTTCAGGGTTTAAAAAAAAAAGATCCACTGTGCCAGACCTGAGAGAATGCAGTTGTATCAACTTTTGCCTTCTCCCCCCACCCCCACGGCTGCAGGAGGAACCACTCCAAGTGCCTGGTACATTGCAAAATGGGCGTCAGTCGCTCTGCTTCCACGGTCATAGCCTACGCGATGAAGGAATTTGGCTGGCCCCTGGAGAAAGCCTACAACTACGTGAAGCAAAAACGCAGCATCACACGCCCCAACGCGGGCTTTATGAGGCAGCTGTCTGAGTATGAAGGCATCTTGGACGCCAGGTGGGTGCCTGTCTGCAGAGAAGAATTGGCAGAGCCGAGCTCCAGAAGCCCTGCCGCCCAGCCGGCCGGGGCTGCCGGCCACATCCCAGCCGTGCTCCCGTTTGGCCCAGCGGTGGCTTCCACAGCCAAAATCCTGCCTCTTGGGGTGGGGGGGAGCCGGTTTGAGAAAAACAACGATTGTTTGGGGTTTGATCAGTGGTTTCCAGGAGGGATCTGTGCTTATTGTGTTGGCACGTAAAGCTGTTTTGCAGCTGGAGGGAGCAGGGCACGGCTTCTAATCCAAGGCAGGACTCCGTGTGAGTCTCGGCCCGGGGCTGCCCCGTTTCCTGAGCACTTGCTCTGTGCCAAGCCTGTGCCAGGCTTCACCGCAGGGCAGCTCCAGGGACTGCAGAGGCAGCCCCGGGCCCACCGCTGACGAGCTGGTAGCTCAGGGGAAGCTCATCAATCTTCCCCCCACCCCGCCCCACCCCCCGCCTCAGTCTCCTCTTCTGAGTTAAGAACTAATCCCCCTGATAGGATTGTTGTAAAATTTCCACGAACACCGTGCAGCTGCTTCGCTAGACCCGGCTCACGGTCAGTGATGACACAGCTGCTTTGTAATTCTCTACCCACCACCTCCACCCACCCACCCCACCATGAAAAAGGTCTGCAGAGGACAGGGGATCCCCCATTTATGGGGAGTAAGGAACTGACGCTGGAGGTTAAGGTGTCCCATGTCACACAGCCAGTGGGCGGCCCAGGGATCGGGGGGCACGCCCGGGTCTGTCAGCCTCTGGGGCTCCCGTGCAAGGTGATCCTGCCCCCATGGAGGGGTCCCCCAGTGACCCCAGGTGGATCGCTGCTGGACTTAGGGGCTCACTTTCCCCCTGTTCCTTTTCTGTTCAATCTGTCCAAGGCCTCCCTGGGTTGTTTCTGCCCGGTGTTGTGAGGAGGCCACAGGCTAAGTCCACCAGCTTCTTGGTCACGTTTGGGGAAGCAACTGGCGGGTCTGGCGAACAGCTCCAGACATCTCTGGACTCCTTCACTGTCAACCAGAGAGCGGCTGGACAGGTGCTCAGGCAGGGCCGAGGGGGACGGCGGGGGAGGAGGAAGGGGCACATCCTGCTCTCGCCTCCGGTAGCCCTTCAGTCATTTGCTGCCATCAGGGGTTTGCAGGCCAACCAGGGGTTGCCAGGCCAGGTTCACAGCAGCACAGCACTGACCTTGAATTACAGCCCCGTCTGAGGGCCCACTTGGCCTTGCGCGGAACGTGCACACAGAGCAGACGGCCGTGAATGACCGTGTTGCTCCCTCGCATTGAAGAGCAACAGCAAACCCTTCGTTTGCACGTCCTTCTATGTTTACTTCTTTCTCCTCTTAACCGTCACAACCCTGGGATGTTGGTGATCCTCTGAGGTTAATGGAGGTGACTCATTTACCTGATTTCACTCTGAGCCTCTTTCTTCTTTTTTTTTTTTAACCCTCACGTTTAAGAAATGTGTCATAAAAGTAACAACACAGCATTAGAAGACTTATTTTAAAAACTGACCTGTAATCTCTCTGACCTACACAAATATTTCCAATTTTCTGGCATCTCCCCAGCTTTATTCAGGTGCATTACGTGTTTACATGGTCACGTTAGTGTGTATAAGTCTTTATCGACTCTCTACTTTGATCCGCGTTATTTCCCTACGACGTAAGTAGGAGAGGATGGGGTTTCTTATTTGACAGATGGGGAAACAGAGACGGAACATCCGTGGCATGACCAGGAGAGCTGGGACACTAGGACCATGATAGGATTCCAGGTCCAGACCCCCTTCCCATGTCTGCGGTACCCTCATCACGTGACAGAGTTGTTTACGTGATCCCACATGGATCATGCGTACGGGAGCCATGATGACTTAGGGTTCTAAGGCTATTTCCGTCGTTCTCGAATTTCTTGGGGGTAAATGAACCGAGAGAGGCTTTACCCAGGTGAGCCCCTGGTGTCCACCCGGGCCTTGGACTGCCCCTTGCTGGCTCCCCACCCCCTTCCTCCCAGGACCCTTGGGCACTGGCGTCTGCTGACCTTCCTCTGCCTTCCTTCCCCAGCAAACAACGGCACAACAAGCTGTGGCGCCAGCAGCCTGTGGATGACCCAGCGGGGCCTGGGGACTTCCTGCCAGAGACCCTGGACGGCACCCCGGAAGCCCAGCCACCCTGCCTGGATGCCGCCGCCCAGCCTGGGTTCCCAGGCAGCGGGACCCCGGGGGGACCCGCTCTCCCCTGCTGTCTCCGGCGACTCTCAGACCCCCTGTTGCACTGCCCCAGAGACGAGACGGGCGGCTGGGTCCACCTGGAGGATCTGGAGAGGGATGCTCTGCTGGAAGAAGCCGCTCAGCCGGCAGAGGCATCCAAGCCGGCCGGACACGCCCCAGGAGGTCCTGGACTCTGTGAGAAGGAAGTGAAGAAGAAACTAGAGTTTGGGAGCCCCCACGCCCGGGGTGGCGCGTCGCCACAGGTGGAGGAGATGGAAAGGGAGGAGGCCCCGGGAGCAGGGAAGTGGGGGCAGCCTGTTACTGAGCTCGATAACCTGCTGAATTGGGAAAACCTAAATAACAATAACAGCAAGAGGAGCTGCCCGGACGACTTCGAGGTAGGCCTGGGGCTGCGAGGGGGTGGCGGCACGCACGCCGTTTCTGCCCCGGGGGCAGCCCCCCCCAACAGCTGCCTCTGCCAGCTCAGTGGGTGGCTTTCCGCGCGATTCTGCAGGCCGATGGGGATGATAGACGACGGAGGACCCGGGACCCCTGGGGAATGGTGATCATCCCCCATGCCCTCCTCACCCCGGTGCCTCATTCACGTCCGAGGCAGAGTTTCAAAGTCTTTCCTTTTTTCTTATGTAAAACATAAAACATATAACTTATGGGAGTTTCCTGGCGGTCCGGTGGTTAGGACTCCGCGCTTCCACTGCAGGGGGCCCAGGTTCGATCCCTGGTCAGGGAATTAAGATCCCGCATGCCACAAGCCATGGCCAAAAAACCCCCACAAAACATATAACTTATCACTCAGCTTCAGCCTTTACCAGTGTATGGCTTTTCTTCCTATCATCTCACCCCCATCTGCGTTCCCATACCCTGGATTCTCCTGAAACGAATCAAATCCCAGATCTGTCGTTTCCATCCCAAATGCTTCCGTTTATAACCTAACCATAACACCGTTGCCACCTTGAAAAAGCCAACATCATCAAGTATCTAGTCTTGCAACTCAGACTCTAATGCTTAATTAACTCCAGCAGTCCCTTGTAGCTCTCATACTTGGTGGGTTATTCGCCACAGGGCTTTTGCCTCAACCTGCCACTTGCTCAGAAAATCAAGAATTCCTCCAGCCTTTTTCCTCCTCCAAGTGGCCCACGCGTGGAGGCTAGTTTCGTGGAGGGACGTCCTCTGTTGCCTGGTCTTGGGTTTTGCCCTCTGCTCTGCTGCTGGCTCGCCCTGGCCCGGGGGCAGGAAGCTTCATTTCCCGTGGCCTGACCACCCACCTCCTGGGCCAGCTGTGATTCTCTAGTAAGAGCACTGGGGAGGCAGATAGAGGCATCCCCTTGTACAGAGAGTTCGCCCTCATCACGTTATAATGCAAACAAAACTGGGAAGTTAAATCTCCCGTACTCCAAATCAGGACCCAGATTCCAAACTGAATAGTAATTACTCTCGAATTTCCCTCACCACTCACCTTCCCTTTAAAGAGCAAATGCCCATCAAGATAGATGATATAAAACCTCTCTGTCCGGGACAGTGGTACCTCGGTTGGTCCGAGATGACGTAGCTGTGAGTCGTAGAATGGGGACCACGAGAGAAGCCTGGATAAGAAGATAAACGAAGGACCCAGCCTTCCTTTTCTGGCCAGAGTGTGGATGGGTGACATTATCTAGGGAATAGGACCTAGAGACAAGCATCCATTCACTTGTTCAAGTTGTGTTTATTAACTCCGGGGCCAGATTGGTGAGGGGGTACAGCTGTAAGGTAGCTCAACACACGTGGTCTTACAGGGAGATGGGAGGTAAACATGTAAGGATGTAACAAAACATACAGGTGGTGCTCGGTGTGGTGACACAGGTAAGGTGGGAGGGGAGGGGATGAGATGGAGCTGGCCGCACAGAGAGCCAGGAGGAGAATCTTCTGGGCCCCAGGCCCCTGAGGGTGGAAAGCTTGGCCTGGTTGAGGGGCAGTGGCTGAGGCGCAGTTGGGCAGGTGGCCGGGCACGCGGGGCCTCGGGGCATGATGGCAGGGCCCTGCGCGTTTCCTCCCAGGGCGCTGGGAAGCACGGGAGGGCATTAGGTGGTTGGTGACAAGGCCCCTCTGGCAGTGGTCTGCAGGCAGACTGATGGGGTGAGATGGAAGCCAGGCATCTGAGATGGGGGTGGCTCAGAGGATGGGACAGGGACCGAAATGCACAGCTTAGGAGGCATCCAGAGACAGGGCCCTCGGAGGGCGGGGACTGTCTTGCTCGTAGCCCCTGCGCCCAGTGCAAGGCCTGGCACAGGACAGGCGCGCTCCCTAAGTAGGAGCTGGATGAATGAATTCCCTCCTCCCTTGTCTCCCCATGAGCTCTGAAAGGTGCTCTCACATCTCCCACCGTGGTAGATTTTACCACGGTTTAGAACATTAGATTCTAAAGGTTTTAGAAGAAACAAACATATAGACACGTTGGTCAAAGCTTCAGGAAAATGTCTGTGTTCGGTCCTCACCACAGGGGTGACCAAGCCCCACTGGTCGACCTGGAAACCAGCCCCAGGAATCCTGACCAGGATAGGGTCCCGCAGGAGACCCGGCCCCCTACCTGCCCCACCAGGTGCTCTCCACACGCCCCCTTGCAAGCCTCCAGGAATCGGGGCTGGGTTTCCCATTGACTCCTCCAGGACTGGACCGGACCCTGACTCCTTAGCTTGCGGGGACCTCGGGCTGCCACACAGGATGGTATGAGTCCCTGACACGACAGAGGAGCAGGGAGAAGCCTTTTGCCAAGAAGGCTTGGTTTTCAACCGCCTCAGGAGTCTCACAGTGAAACAACTCGCGAGGGAAGAGAGTCACCCTCTTGCCTCCACTTCTGCGGTTCTCGGCTGGGTCTCGGCCCAGAAGAGCAGCCCTGGTGCCTTTCGATGGGCGCATGAGGGAGTGAGGGCTTGGCCTGCCCATCAGGAGGAGGGCGGGGTGGAGAGGCCCACGTTGAGCTCGCGGAGACCCCCAGTGACCAGAGGCGGGGCGTCTCTTGGGAGGTGGTGCAAACGTGCTTTCGGCTGGTGTATGAAACCCACCTCTGCCTGGCTCCCTCATCGGGGTCGTGGGCACCCGTGTTTGGGTCTGTGTTAGAGTCTTTCCCGAACCGTTTCTGCCTTTTGCCACCCCTCTGTGAAGAGCACAGTTAGATGGTGGTTCCTTGGAGCCATGCTCTGTTGTACCAGACAGGAAGGGTTCTGTCTTCAGGCTGCAGACTCCAGACCCTTTCTGAAAGGGAGACAGTTACTGTGCCAGAAATGTTACTTCACTAATTCCCACGAGGCCGTGAGGGGAAAGGGTGAGGCGAAGTCACTCTGGTTTCCAGGCAACACCAGAGGCTGGAAAGGGTCATTTGCTGCAAGTGGCGGAGGCGGAGTTGAGAAGGGAGGCCCTTGGAGGCCCTGCTCCTGGCCATGTGGCCGAAGGTTTGCCCAGGATCGTGGGCTCGTAGCTTCCGGGAAGTTCGATCCAGTGTCTCTAACTCATCCCCAACCTGCATTAGTCATGGTCATATGGGTTCCGAGAGGGCTGTATCCCAGCCCCAGCTGAAGCGAGAGCACTGCCAGCCCAGTGCCTGCCCCAGCCCCGCCTCCTGCCCTTCTTGTACTTTTCGGGCTTCGGCTTGTGTCACACCCTCACGATGTTCTTGTCCCTTTCAGCATGATGCGATCTTTGGGATCCTTAACAAAGTGAAGCCTTCCTACAAATCCTGTACCGACTGCATGTACCCTGCAGCCAGCGGGATTCCCGAGGCCTTCGGGGAGCGATGCAAGAACCCCAGTGCTCCCGCCATCTGCACCCAGCCCACCTTCCTGCCCCACCTCACGTCTTCCCCCATGGCCCATGTGGCCAGCAGGTCCCGAGCTTCAGAGAAACTGTCCTCTGGCCCAACCGAAACTCCCCCATTCCTACCACCAGCAGGCTCGAGGAGGCCAGACATCAGTGGCCCTGGGGCCGGGGCTGCCCCAGAGCTACCAGCCAGCCTTTTGGAACCTTCCAGAGAGACTCACAAAGTCCTACCAAAGTCCCTCCTTTTGAAGAATTCTCACTGTGTTAAGAACGCTCCCAACATGGAAGTAGCGAAGGACGACTCGCCACCCAAGAAAGATCCGAAGCCAGCCAAGGACCTGCGGCTGCTGTTCAGTAAAGAAGCCGAGAAACCGACAGCCAACAGCTACTTGATGCAGCACCAGGAATCCATCATCCAGCTGCAGAAGGCGGGCTTGGTCCGCAAGCACACCAAAGAACTAGAGAGGCTGAAGGGCACGCCGGCCGACCTGGCGGCCCCCTGCAAGGATGGCCCCGCCAGCAGGCTGGAGGCCAGCATCCCCGAGGAGAACCAGGACCCGGCTCTGCCTGGCCAAGCCCAGGGCGACGAGAAGCCCGAGGCTGGCCCCCCTCTGTCAGAAGGAGCCCCACTGAAGAGCCCCCCGCTCTTCCTCTGCCGCCCAGACCACACCAGTCACTTCTCAAAAGACTTCCTGAAGACCATCTGCTATACCCCGACCTCATCCTCCATGAGCTCCAACCTGACCCGGAGCTCAAGCAGCGACAGCATCCACAGCGTCCGCGGGAAGCCCGGGTTGGTGAAGCAGCGCACGCAGGAGATCGAGACCCGGCTCCGGCTGGCGGGCCTCACGGTCTCGTCCCCGCTCAAGCGCTCTCACTCCCTCGCCAAGCTCGGGAGCCTCAACCTCTCGACGGAGGACCTGTCCAGTGAGGCCGACGTGTCCACCGTGGCTGACTCCCAGGATGCCAGGTTGAGCGAGTCTTCCTTCTTGCATGAGCCCCCAGTGGCCCCCAGGAACCCAACTGCAACCTCTAAACCATCAGGGAAATCTGCCCCGGAAAACTTGAAAAGCCCTTCGTGGATGAGCAAAAGCTGACCCGCCTTTGGCTGCGTTTGGACTTCTGTGATCCCTCCTTTAGTTTCACTGTGGATTTTGGTCCACCCCTTCTGTCTTGATTTCCTTTAAATAATTGGCGTTATCCTTACTTTTCCTCCCCTCTTGCGGCAAAGGGGAGAAGAAGAAACAACAATACCTAACATACAGCACAAGAAGAAAGGGGAGCATTGGTTTTGTGGCCTGGGGGAACCAGCAGCTGTTGACCAGTAGACTCTGACTCCAAATGAGGTGTTCCGGGTGCTTCTCGTGTGTTGAGAAGAGCATTTATACAGCGATGCACACACATCAAAAATCCTCTGGCACAGGGCTTCCCTGGTGGTGCAGTGGTTAAGAATCCGCCTGCCAATGCAGGGGACACGGGTTCGAGCCCTGGCCCGGGAAGATCCCACATGCCGCAGAGCAACTAAGCCCGTGCGCCACAACTACCGAGCCTGCGCTCATAGAGCTCACACTCTGCAACAAGAGAAGCCACGACAATAAGAAGCCCGCTCACCGCAGTGAAGAGCAGCCCCTGCTCGTCACAACTAGAGAAAGCCCGTGCACAGCAATGAAGACCCAACACAGCCAAAAAACAAAACATCCTCCGGCACAACCTGCAAAGGAATAGCTGTGGCATTGGCATCGCCACCACGGCACGTGTCCTAGCTCATTCAGGCCCTTCTGGGAAAACTCCTGGATGGCAGTAGAAGTCCTACCTCTGATCCTGCTCTGCTTTTTATTTTTAAACTCCAGTAATGACCAAGGCTCATTCCAGGGAAAATTGCTGTGTCAGAAAAGATTTTTCCGAAAGAGAACTTTTTGTTGTGCGGTTGTCAGGACCCCAAAAAGTATTAAGACTTTTAAGGTGCCTGCACCAAACACACTGCTAGTTAAAGTGACATGAAGGCGCGAATGCTGTTGTCAGACCAACTCCAGGGTGAGTGGAGGTCCTCTGAGCAGTTGACTTGCCTGTCCTGGCGTGTTGTCACAGCTGAGTGACGTGTGTCTGGCCGGCCCTGGGGTGAGGTGGGGGGAAATGTGTGTGGGGTCCTCAGTTTGTTGCTAAAGGTCAGTCTTCAGTTGTCCCCCATCTGGGGAGAAGGACCCACAAAGTATCATTGAGTCTTATCTGCTGCGGAACCCAATGCGGTCGTGTTGTGGTTCGTAGGGACTCAAGTGTCTGGCGGGGCCGGGGATTCTGAGGTGTGCGTCACCCCGTCAGGAGCCCCAGCACTCAGGTTCATTAGGTCACATGTACTCATGTTTGGGGAGGAAAAGGAGATTTCAGCAGTGAGGAACGCTCAGTCACTCTCAAGGAACAACTTAGCAGCAGCTTCTCTGAGAAGCGGGACTGGGGGAAGCCTTGGTAGGTGTTTACCGTCGCCCCTTCCCGCGGTGAGAACGCTGCTTCCTGTTTCTCTGCGGCTCTTCCCAGTGGGCAGGACAGCACGTGGTCCTGAGTGGCTCTGGGAGTAGTCCCTCTACGGATCTTGAGTGGAGGGACTCCTCTGATGTTGGCCGGCAAGACAGGATGTTAAAATATTTTGGAGAGAGAGAAGAGGTCTGTTAAGTTTAATTCAGGGGTCAGCAAACCATGGTGTACGGCCCCAAGAGCTAAGATGGTGTTTTACAGTTTTAAGGGATTATCAAAAAATTAACAAGTAGGCGACAGAGACCATGTAGCCTGCAAAGCCTAAGCTAGCTACCTTGCGATCAGGCTCTTTATAGAAAACTTTTGCCGAGCCCTGGCCAGTGAAACTAGAAATCCTTCAAGGGCCAGCCAAATTCCAAACGTGGGTAAATGAGTCGCCATCTTAACGTTGGTCAGAACTGGGCCCCCAAGAGTGGCCCAGGCAGGGTCTTCAGGAAGAAGGCTAGTCCGTATTTCAACTAGTGGGTAGAGTTTTTGCAAAAACCCTCTCTCCGGAAACTTTTTCTCCCTGGCCTTATTTTTTTTATTAAAGTATATGTTATTTTACCCTATCGGAATTTGTTTTCCCACCACTGTCAACTGAAATCAGCTTAAAAGGTGATTATCCACTTATTGCGGAAAACCCAGTTGGGTTTCTTCCTCTCTCTCAGCCAACAAGAGCACAGTCTCAAAAAATATATCAGGTTCAGTGTTTTGCCAAATTAAATTTCATGTGGTGGATCAACTTTTGTGTCAAAATAATTCTTTAAATTTGATGATGCCAGGTTTATGTTGGTTTTTTAACCATGCCTGGGTATGATATAGTTTTGAAGACCTTAATTTTGAAAGCCATAATTTTTCTTATCCAGTTAAAGGGGGGGAGGAGGATTACGAATACTAGTGGGTCTTTGGCTCTTGGCAAAGTTATCCATTCGCTGTCAGGAGCTAGTCTATCAGCATCTAAACAGACCAGGGCCCAGGTGCCCATCATCAGAGCAAAATGAAGCATTCTTGACGGATGACGCTGTAGCCTGGAGAAGAGGGTGAAGGTTTTTCTCTGAGACCCAGATCAGTGGCACACAAGCATATGGCAGATTGCTATTTTAAATGTTACGCTAACAAGACAAGAGCATTCTCCCAGGCTTGGAGACACCTTGGCAAAGACAGATTCATACCGGTCTCTGAAAAGAAAGCTTACACCGTAAGCTGTGCCACATCTTGACCAATGCTTCGTCTGTAAGCTTAGCAGATGGGGGAAATTCCGAACGTAGGCGGCAGTGGTTTGTGCTGTGAAAGCCATTGATTTTGGCGACCGCCATCTTCGTGGAATGCCTTTGTCGAACTAGGCGAGAGCAAAAGCTTTCTAAGTAAGCTCAGTACCCTGTGAATTCAGCTGCATTTCCTCTTCCACCTCACCTTTCCCTCACTTGCACTCTCATTCACGTGGCATGCCAAAATTAGAGTGAACTCCTCTAGGCCTTCCTCTTGCAATGATACAGGGAGGTCTTCTCATCAAGTTTTGTTGTGTCGAAGAGGAGAGGTGGTCACAGAGAGAGGGGAAACCGTGCTGCCCTTGATCGGGACCTGACCTTGCCGATTTCCATGTCTTTGTCTTGTAGCTACTTCAGGGCCTTGGAGCAATGTGCATCATTCCATGAACTTCTTGACAACAAGGTTCTTGCCCCCAGTCTCACCTGCCTCCTTGGTCTCAGTGCAGGCACCAGTGCCAACCTCTCGGCTGCCAGACAGCTCTCTGCTGGGTGGAGGCACCCGGTCCATCAGGCGAGCAGGTTACTCTGTCTAGCTCCCTTCCGCTCCATCCCACCCTCTCCAGCTAAAAAGCATTCCAGCCCTTTCTAAAGCCTTTTCCCTCCTGGATAAGCCCAGAGGATGCCTGGGATGGAGCCAAAGAGGCCATAGAATTAACATCGTCAGGACAACCCTGTACGTCGGCACTGTGCACAGGTGCCATCCCAGGAGACTGATGGATCCCCTGCTCCCCTGGGGCCCCTGCTCCCTAGTGAGAGGAAATGCTGTCATGTAGTCGAGAGCATGTGAGTAACCTCACCCAAAGTGTCCGAAGAGCGACTTGCTGTCTGTTGGCTGGAAACGCTTGGTGCCAGAACACATTTCCCAGAACCCTGCTCTGGCTCGCCACCCGGCAGGGCTTCCCCGCACCCACGCGGCCGGCACAGTGACGGCCGCCCCTTCACCTCCGGCAGGGGAGCCAGGCGGGCAGGAGATTTGTGACATCGGGACAGCGTGGTGCAGGGTCACCGGCTGCTGTCCCACCCCCAGCGTCTCCCCGACGCGGCATGCCAAATGAAGGTACTTATGGACCCCCGTGCTCAGCTACTTGGTCTTTTTATTGTCTGCTCTGCAGTTGAATACGTATGTGTATGAGTTCACTCTGCACAAATATATATATTTGAATCTGTCTATCTATCACTTGAATCAGAGCATCACGTGCATCCCTCCTCCCTCGCGTACACGCACACTGTGTCACCCGAGCCATGAAGCGGGTCACCTTGAACGGTCTGGAGCGATGCAGTGCGGTGCTGCCCTCGGTGGGTGTGGATGTGACCACCTCGTCTTTGTCTTGCAGTGGGTGCTGCAGCCCCGGCCTGTGTCGGTCTCTTAGCAGGAGTCTTAGAACCAGACCCCCGGTCCTCTGCTGTCCTTTCTGTCGGCCGCGCTGCTCACGGAGATGGCCGCTCTCCCTCCCTGCCTCCTTCCTGACACTGTAATTATTGTTTTACAATCGAGTGCCTTAATAATAGTTTACAAATACTATGTATTTATGGGCAACCGTTAAGCTCTCGCCTTCTGTGATTGGATACTTTGCCTCGTCAGTGGTGGTTAGCGTTTTAGGGCTGGAGCTTGCCTGCCCCGTACTTGTGCTGATCTGTTGTGCGGCGTCTCGCACCTGCCCGCAGCCAGGCCAGGAGCGTTGCTAGAAACGGCGCTGGCGGTTTCTGTTGGCAAGGCGGGCACGGTTTCAGCCACGGCCCGGTCCGTAGGAAGCGAGGAAAGAACGGCACTGGTTTGCTGGCCAGCCGGGGGGGTGGCGCGGTCCAGGCTTCCCCTGGACCGCAGCCCAGCCCCTCCCCTGTTCCCCCCGTCACACAACTGTACCCCTGTTCAGTAGAGTCTTTATTGCCACCGAGGCCCCTGTTTTCCTCTCTGCTGGTGTCCTGAGCTCTCTGCAACAAAACGCAGGCACAGGCCGCCATCAGGAGCTCCGCAAGATGGGCTGCCCTTTGGTTTTCAGAAGCCGCCCGCGGGTTCCAGTGTGTTGTGTTATGATATCAATGATTTTTTTTATTATATTGTTTTTCTTCTTGTTTTTTTATATTATATATTTAAAAGGCAGTATCTTTTGTACTGTGAATTTGCAGTAGAAGATGCATAATGCACTTTTTTTTTTTTTTTTACTTCTGTTGGTGTGTACTGTAGTCTTTGTGCTTCTTGTGATGAAAATAAACTTTTTCTTTATAAATGCCTGATGACCTCCAAACTTGTGCCAAAAAGCAACAGCCTCTTCAGCCCTTGCCAGGAGACTTGGTTGCAGCTTCGTCATCATGATGGCCGGTCTTGACTGAGCATCTGCCGTATGCTGGGCCCCATGCTAGACACCTGGACAGGTGAGACCAAAGAAAGAACCAGGGGAAGAAGGTCAGCTCCTGCAGGAATCATCCTTTTTCCTCCTGATCTTGCCAGTAAGGAAGAGCAGGTCCAGTTGTGGGTGGTCACTCGTATACCAAAAAAACCTGTCCCGTCCCTCCACCCCACCACCCAGGGTGAGACTTGGACTTGGGGTGGCATCTCTCCCGGCACAAGCTCTAAAGCTAGAGGTGTGCTCAACAGAACCACCTTAGCTGCTCACACGGGAGAGGGGACGGTGGGAGCTCACTGCGGCTAACGGCCAAGGCAGGAACCCCAGGGAATCCCAGTCGCTGGACACAGCAGAGGCTCATCTCGTGCTCAGGTCACAGTCCACGGCAGGTCAGAGCTTTTGGTGGCTCTCCCCCCTTGGTGTCTAAGCCAAGTCAGGCTGCTTCCAACAAAAAACCCTGCCTTCTTGGAGTTCTGTGCATCTAGCCGTGCCGCAGGGTAAAGATCATGGGACTCACATTCCCTCTTCACCGCCTTTGGGTGCCACACATTACATTCCAATGCGCGAGTCACATGGGTGAGCACTGACCATCTGCCACTAGTGCCTTGACGTGACCATGAAATTCCAGTGCCTGTGGATCCAGAAAAGACTTTGTTTAGTTCACCTAGACTTACTCTGCCCCTCACCTGGACTCACAGGACCAGAATGCAAGTTTTTCACTTTACAAAAAGAATTAAAACCGTCAGGCGGACCAGATTACTCTCATTTGCCGATTACCACATTGAGCCCTTCTAGGAAAATCTACACGTGAAGCCAAAGTATGGTTAGGAATTGCTTATTCAGTAGGAAATCAAAGCAAAAGGTGAGTGGCGTGACTGTACTCCTTGGTGCCACCAAGCTGTAATGCAGCCCTCTCTGTAAGAGGTTTTTGGAACTGAACCACTGAGGGTCATGGTTCAGGACGCTCATCCTAGGAAAGGCTGGAGACACCTAACAAATTCTCTTCGGGCTGCAAACATGAAACAGAGGCTGAGGATGGGGCCCAGCACTCTGTATGATTCCCATGGATTCCCTGGGAATTCTGATGCCATGTTTAGAAACCGCTGAAATAAGAACGTGATGCAATTGAGTAGGCTTTCCCTTTGCTAGTTACAATCACATTCCACACATGCGTTCTGGAGACAACACCCACCCACATCGCCCTTGCAGAATGTGGGTGTTCCCAGATCATCAGATACTCTTTCACTCAGGTCCTCGGAGAACCTTCCTATAACTGACTGCTTTGATCCTGATTTCGTCCTCCTAGTAGCAATCCTGAGGTTGAATGTGATCCCAGGTCTCGCCGGCAGGGGGCGTGGTTGTGCAGGGGAGGAGCTGCATGCTGGGGGGTGGGGGTGGGGGAGGCCCCTCTTGGCAAGATGCTTGGAAGAGGTTCCAGAAAGCAGACGATGGAGGACAACGTGGCATTTCAAAAGGATTCACTTCATGGTAGGAAAGCCCTTTCCAAAGGTGTCCAGCCGCAGTGCACAAAGCGAGCTCTGCCCAGAAAACACCACTCACCCACCCCTGCGCCCTCAACGAGGGAGCAGAACCACACTTCTGAGCCTTCCGCGTACCCAGCACTTTAAAGAATCCCGCTGAATCCTCCAAAGTCCCTGTTGACGTTACCCTCAGTTTACAGTTGAAGAATCAGGCCTGCAGAGTGTAAGTCATTTGTCCAAGGTTACATCTAAAAAGTGGTGAAGCCAGGAGGTACTGCTCCTTCCCCACCTGAAATCCTCTGGGAGCTGCCCCCCACCCCAGAAGTAGAAAGCAGCAAGCTGAAGCTGCATCTGATCTCCCTGTAGGTACCAGCAAGAAAACATCCGAGTCAGAAATGAAGCCTCCAGCCCTTGGGAAATCTGACCCACTTCGTGCTCCGAAGGCTATCCGGGCGGCACAAGGTGTGTTTCCCTCCCCCAAGTCGGATTCATCGTATTTTGCCTTTAAAGGGAAGCTGCTTATGCACCCTGAAGTATACTTGCAAAGGGTCCCGTTTTAGCCCCAAGTTCCTTTTTTTGTAAACGGTTTCAGCAAGTCAAGTGTCAGCATTTGCGTGAGCAGAAACCGCAGCACAGAAAAGGATGCACGGGAATCTGACCCTAAGAGATAGATTCTCCCACAAGCGGTTGGAGGTGCCGAGCTCCCTCTGGTTTTGAAATAGGATGTCGCAACGGGTGAAGGACAATGCTACCTACCTCAAGGGGGCAATAATTTGAGAATTAGCTGATAATGTATGCAGACCTCTTCTGCCTGGCACACCACTTGCTGAGTAAGTCAGTGGCAGCTCTAACTGTTGGTACTGGCAGGAGGGATGGAGGGGAGGGAGGGGAAAAAGAAGTAAACTGCACTGAGCATCTACTACTCGCAGGTGTTTCATGTGTGTTGCTGAGTTGATCCTCACAGTAGATGTGACTGTTTTACAAACGAAGAGGTGGAAGCTCAGAGAGCTTAGGTCACCTGGATAAGGGCCACACAGCCAGGAAGGGACAGAAGCCTGGGGTGCCTGACTCCAAACTCATACACTTTCTACCCCACCATCTTCTCTCCAAAGAAGACAGCCCTTAATGTACTTAGTGCATAGTAAGCACTCAGTAAATATCAGATGAGAGTAAATGAACGAAATATGCTGTGAAAATGGGGCCCAAGTTTCGTTCACCAAGGCTGGGAAAGCTTGGGGACACCCATGACCGCCTAAACCACGTTCTCCCGGGACAGGGACATGAATCAGACACCTCTGGGGCCCCAGCACACTGGGCTTGGCACACTGGACTGAGCCCTAGGTCAACACCAGGCATTTACTATGCAGGAATCAATGAATCCTGAGTTTTTAGAGACCAGAAGAACCTGAAAGGTCATCCAGACCAGGCCCCTTTGTAACATCCATCCATTCCGTCATCCTCTCCCATTCATGTGCTCCTGCCATGTGCCAGTTGCCCGAGAGAAAGAGGAGCCCGTCTGTTTCACCCCCTGGCAGTCCTGATGGAAAGCCCATCTGTAAAAGCTAGGAAGGAAATACACCACCTGCCAACAGCAATGGGGTTAGATGGGGAGGATTCGAGGTGGACGTTTTTTGCTTATATCTAATAATAATCTTATATCTAATAATATATCTAAAATAATCCCTTTGCAACAGGATTATTATGTTACTTTCATACTTAAAAAGGAAAATGTAAAGATTTAATAAAAGGTTGCTTTGGCATTGAGCTACAAGTTGCCCTCCAAGCTCCCAGGCTCATGGTTCTAGGGAATTCAGCACAGCATTTTGCGGGGAGGGCCTCTTCTCCCCTCTGATGGGGTAACATGGGCCCCCTGGAACAGAAATTGCGCTCAGATCACTGAGGCTCAGGGGTGCCAGGTAGGGGCTCACTGTCCTGGCATGTGAGCTTTTCCAGGCCACAGTGCCCACCCCCTGAGCACTTGGGGCCTGGCTTCCTGGGCAGCTGCACAGGACTCTGAACTCACAGGGGCCCTGTGATTGGTCGATGCTCTGCTGTCACTGTCTTTAATTCTTTAATGAGGGCCAGGCCTTCTCATTTCCCACTGGGCCCTGCAAATTATGTCGCCGGTCCTGGCAGCGTCATCACGCTGATCAAGGGCTTTGGAGAAAGACAGCCCAGGGTCATGCTCCCTAACTCACCCACTCTGTGACCCAGATCACTAGCTTAACCTCTCTGTGCCCCCTTTTCCTCATTTGAAAAACAGGAATGACCTCATAGTGCTGCTGCAAAGATTAGCGCTGTGTCATCAGCACACAGTGAAGGCGCGTGAATGTAGATATTATTTGCTAGATGAAGTACTGAGCACGAGTCCCGACACAAAGCACTCCCTTCGTGAGTAGTTGCTATAATCGTGGGAAAGACAGTGATCCGATGCCCACAGACCAGCCCTGCTGACGGCAGCTGCTCTTCCCACGCTGCTTCCTTAGCATCCTCTGAAGGGCAGAGGGAAGCCGACACGAGCCCACTGGAGGAGGGACTCAGCTGGGCTGTGCACATGCGCCCTCCTCCTCCCCTGCCACTGACCCCTCGGAGGATGCCAGCTCTGCCTGTCTCCTGATACAAACACCATTTGTCTCCGACCTGGACCAAATGGTTCTTTGCAACAGGCCTTTGGGGAAGGGAACGGTGTGGGCGGCCTGTGAGTGCGGGCTTGTCCCTGTTGCAATCCAGAGGTACATCCTGTTCTGGCGTTGCCATGGCACAGCCAAACATCTGCCACAACAGATGGCTGAGGCTGGCGGCTGGCAGCGGGGCTGCGGACTGGTGAGGGCCCGGACATCGCCCCACCCCGCCGCCACTCACACGTACGCACAGACTTGCACCCACACGCAGGCACACACACCCGCACACACGCGAGTTGGCCTCTTCCAGGACAGACAGATTTCCCATAGAGGAGAGTTCCCAATTCTTGGTTTTCTTCCTGGAGGTCCTGGAGAACAGCCCTGGCAGGACCGGGCCGTCCCGAATTCTTATCCTGGTCCAGCCCACAGCCAGGCTCCCAGAGCTGCCCCAGGCTCTGGCCTGCTCCCCAAATGGAATTTGCTTTCCTGGTTGGTATTGTCATTTTTCCTGATTCGGAAGTCAAGCGCAGTCATTGTAACACAGTCACGTGATGTAGAGGAGTGACGATAGCTGCCCTCGTGGTGGCAGGAGCGCGTACCTCTCACTAAAGCTACGCAGGCAGAAAGTGCGTGCAGCAGCGTCTGACTCACAGTGCGCGCTGCACACACGTCTGAGAGATAAAACAATTGTTAACATGATCTGATTCCGTCTGGCCATGCAGGGATTAGAAACACGTTTTCTAGCGGAGAAAGCTGAGGCTGAGAGGTGACATTCCCTGCCTAAGG